TTGAAGCCTCGGATGGGCATTGTAAGCGCAAAGGCGATAGCGCCCAACACAGTCATTTTCCCTGGGGTTTTGAAGCATGTCGGCTTCTTGGGGGCATCCTTGGGGAGTTTTTCTGGACACTTGGAGCCGTCTTGGTGCCGTCTTGGTGCGTCTTGGAGCAGCTTGGGAGCTATCTCGAGGCATCTTGAGCCATCGTGAGCCATCTTGGAGGCTATCTAGGGTTCCCTGAGGCCCTCTTGGAGCCACCTTGGGCCATCTTAGACGCTCCGACACCTCGCGGAACCCCCTGTCCAAGTAGGTCCATGGGCAGGGGGTAGGGGGAGGGGTAAACCCCTCCCCGAAGGGGATGAAGCAGGGGTGGAAGAGGAAACCCCCTAAACCACCGACGCCCAAAGGGCTGGTGGGATAGGTTTGGGAGATCGCCGCGGCGATCCGGGCGCCCACAAATCGGGGCAATGCTGCTGTCGAAGAGTGGCACTCCCCCATCCCAGCCCCCGCACTCCGCCCTGCGACGTAGAATGGCTCCCGATTGACAAACTGGCGACAGTGAGCTGTGAGCTTCAGGAAGAAAAGCAACACACAGACACAATGAATCCTCGATTCCCCAGAAAAATATTGGAAAATATTGGAAGTGGGGGAGAAGACAGACACCCTGAAAATATAGGAAAATATCGGGAATCTGTTTTATTTGTGTGTATTTATTTGTGTGTCCTGGGGCCCCTTCAGAGTTCATTTTCCAACACGGGCAGTCTCGTCGCGTTTGATCAGGGGTCGAGCACCACGCAACTGGCTCTGGCTGTGCGCCGGCCACGGGCCCTGGTCAGGCCGATTCTGGGCTCGGGAGGGGCTCTCCACGGGAGTCGGCGAGCGCGCTCCCCTACTCGCAGAGTGCCTGCAGTCAAAAACCCTAATATGGACGCGCGACTTTGCTCAGGGTACCCTTGCGTCCTTGCTCTTCCTTGCTCTTGCGTCCTTGAGGTTTTCGTCGTCCGCCGCCCCAGAAATCCCAATCTCGGCTTCCAAGGGTCTTGCGTCCTTACCGCGCGTCCTTATTAGAAATTCTGACTGTACTCGGAACCGTCAGACAAAAAAAACGGGCCTGCATCGATGTAATTTATCGCAGATCTCCCATGGCGGAGCCGTGCCTTCTGCGAGCAGTGGCTCTGCGAGCAGCTGGGCGCGCTCGTCTTCAGGAGGGCGAGTCGAGGTGACGGTGGCTGGCCTTCGAGGGGGCCTTCGCGTCGCCGCGGCCGGGCGCGGCTCGGAACTCTGGCGCGCGCCGGGACCCCCGGGGGGGGGGCCGGGGGCCGAGTGTTCTGGTTGCCGCTGTCTCAACTCGCCCTGCTGCGAGCGGCTAACTCTTGGCATCGCTCGGACGTGTGCATTTTTCTTTCGGCGAGGACCATCGAGGAGCATCCTTGATCATTTCGCGAAAAAGTCACGCACGAAACCGAAAAAAACAGGAAATGGACGTCCGAGCGATGGCCAGAACTCAGGCAGTGGCGACGCGTCCTGGCTCGCTCATATAGCCCTAACCGAACGATGTTCTGAGAACCTTTTTGTGGTGTCCACGGGATGTTCTTAGAACATTTCTGGCTAGGTCTGTCTTGTTTCAACACATCGGGTTTATGTTCTAAGAACATCGTTTGTGTTCTTAGAACATTTTTGGGTGCTAAGAGCATTTCGTGGTAGGACTATAGGAATGCCCGGACGGTCGGTCCCTGCTCAACTGATAACGGTGCGTCGGGTTCGTGTCGTGCCGTCTTCGGCGCTGGTTTCTGACACTGGGGAGCGTTCAGCCTTGAACGGTCGGCCGCTTCCGAAAGGTCCAAATCGTTCCACAGCGAACGATTCTGGGTCGCCCGCGGCGTTCAAAGTTGAACGCCGCTGGCGGAGTCGCCGCCGGTCGACACGACACGAACCTACCGTAGGTCGCCCGCGGACGCGCGACGATGATCGTGCTTCGAGCGGCGTGGTCTGGGCCAGAGCGGTTGCCCTTCTCCATGTGGGCGGCGCGAGGGCGCGTATGCGCGCGAAGGTACGGGCGCACCGCGCATGTCGTTGCGCGATTCGTGAAGCTCGATGACTGAGAACACCGATCCTCGGTCCAGGGTGAATCTGGCCAGGTTCAGTGCAGGTGCATAGTTGGCTTCCTCCTGCAGTGACCGCTCCCCGCCTGCGCGAGGGTTCGGGCGGCGTCGGCGTCGACAACACGTCTGCCCCTCCGGGTGGTGGTCTCGTGCTTGCCCCGTGTGCGCTCCCCCATCCGCGGGGGGAGGGTGGGGGAAGGTCGACGATCCTCAGGACGTGTGTTAGTTCAAAGTGTGTGTTACCCCCTCCAGCCCCATCAGTTGATTATTACATCGCCTGGGTCGTGTCGAAGGGCCTCGATGGACAAACACTCGCTGGGGCTCACACACTTTCTGAGGATCATCGAGAAGGGCAGGATGCAGCTTTCTAATAGCCTAAGGGTTACCCAACATGACAGCGCAAACTCATTCGTGCTGGCCTGGGCGGAGCATGTCTTGCCGGCCTGGCTTGCCGCCGAGGACCTGGCTTTGTGCTGAACAGGGCTGGGCCTCAACGGTGTTTTGCTGGACTTCGGATGCGTTTTGTTTTTCGTATTGGGAGGGAGGTACAGGAAAACAGGTAGAGCAAAACGAAACACAAAACGAACACAAACGAAACACAACTCCAGCGCTGGTGCTAAAGCCTCTGGAAATCGGAGTGGGTGAGAGAGGGTGGCTGGTTGGGATCCTTCACATTTTACAGTCAACCCCCATAGTAAGGATGGGCGACCTTCCCAAGGGTACCCTTGCATCCTTGCCTCCTCGGTCCACGCCTCGCTGCTTTCGCTGGCCGCGCCCCGCGCACGCGAGGCTTCGAACTGGGCGTCCAAGGCGCCTGCATGCTTGTCTCGCATCCTTATCGTAGGGGCCGACTGCACTCCCCGTGCAGGGGCCGCCGACGTTTCCGCGGGCCGTCCTCCCAGAGCGGGGCAGGGACTGCGGACGAGGAGGAGGGCCGCTCCAGGAGGAGAGGGCCAGCACAGGGGGGAGGATAGGCGGATGGGGGCGAGAAGTAGGCGCCAGGTCTCTGTTGCGGTTCATGTCTGTCTATTGTCGGCGTTGCCCCAACATATTTGTACTATATGACTATATGTCCGTTGCCCCCTCACGGGCGACGCCCGCACCGAGAAATCTTATAGTGTATGCGTCGTGGCGGGCGCTTTCTGTCCACACCGCTCGGGAAACGATATACTACAATAACGGTATACTGTATGTTCGGGTCGGACGCGCGTCTCCAAGGAGGACATTCGTATTAGTGCGTCTCTGTGCGTCCCATACTATTCAAGAGGAGGCGATGGGGAGGGAAGGGAGGAGGATGGGGGGAGGGGCAAGCCGGGTGCGCTTGCGCTGTGTCCGACAGCACATCCCTCGCACCCGTCCCCTCCAGTTGTGCTCATGGTGTCCTTCACCCGCCGACGGGTGTCAGAGTGATCGTTCTCTGATTCACTGTTTTGCCGATCGGCGCGGGGCCTTCTCCTCCTCCTCCTCCTCCTCATCCTTTCCTCATCCTCCTCTTCCTTTCCACCGCCTCCTCCTCCTCCTCCTCCTCCTCCTCCTCCTCCTCCTCCTCCTCCTCCTCTTAGTCCTCCTCCTCGTCCTCCTACTCTTACTCCTCCTCCCCCTCCTCCACCTTCTCCTCCTCCTCCACCTCTTCCTCCTCCTCCTCCTCCTCCTCCTCCTCCTCCTCCTTCCCCCCACCTCCCCATGGAGTAGATCTTGGGGGTTTGGGGCGCCTGTTTCGAGCTAGAGTCTCCCCCCATATGACGCACTGTTGCACACAGTCGCATTAAGCAGAGGAGGTCCGGAGCCAGACCCCACCCCCCCTCCACCCTCTCCCGCCCAATGTCGAAACGCCGATCGAGAAAACTCGCAGAAGATGGCGTGCTATCGATCTGGGGCCATCGATGCCTTGCCATAGATGTGGTGCAATCTATGAGGTGCGCAACGTATGGGGTAGAATCGACTTGGTGCAATCCGAATGGCGCCATACATGTTGTGCTGTGTATATATATATACACATATGTATGTGGTGCAGTGTGCGCGCGTGCCCCCGAGGTTGCGAGCCCTTCCGCCCAATGTCGAGACGCCGACTGAGAAAACGCTCTCCTAGCAGACCCTTTTCTCCTCCTTTTTCTCGTCCTCCTCCTCCTCCTCCTCCTCCTCCTCCTCCCTCTTCCTTTTCCGTCCTCCATCCTCCTCCTCCTCCTTCTCCTCCTCCTCCTCCTCATCCTCCTTCTCCTCCTTCTCCTCCTTCTCCTCCCCGCGACTCGGACACTGTCGCCACTCGTAAGTCGATGTTCTTCTTCTTACCATTGTTCCTTGAGGACAGACGTTGCGAACCAACTCAACATCGCGAACATCACGACCACTGCCCTGGACCCTCAACCCCGTCTTCCTGCGTCCAGGTTTCGAGGCCGGCCGACCTGTGAGGGCCCTGGGGCTCAAAGCTGGGCGAGGGCGCCCAGTGCGAGGAAATTGCAGCGGCAGGATCTCAGGGTTCTCCGTCGGCCTCCCCCCCCCGAGGGGCTCTTGCGGGCCCCTTCCTCCATCCTCCTCCTTCTCCTCCTCCTCCTTCTCCTCCTCCTCCTCCTCCTCCTCCTCCTCCTCTCCTCCTCCCTCCTCTCCGTCGGCCCCCCCGAGGGGCTCTTGCGGGCCCCTTCCTCCCTCCTCCTCCCATCCTCCTCCTCCTCCATCCTCCCCTCCTCCTCCTCTCCTCCTCCCTCCCTCCCTCCATCCATCCATCCATCCTCCTCCTCCTCCTCCTTCTCCTCCTCTTAGTCCTCCTCCTCCTCTTAGTCCTCCTCCTCCTCCTCCTTCTCCTGTATCCTCCCTCCTCCTCGCCCTCGATCTCCTCCTCCTCCTCCTCATTCTGCTCCAGCTCCTGCTCCTCCGCCTCCTCCTCCTCCTCCTCCTCCGCCTCCTCCTCCGTGCAGGGCGTTTTGCGCTCGGGTTGCTTGTGCAGCCCGTTTTCGCGTAACCCGAGGGACTGTCGTCTCCTTCTCCTCGTTCAGGGCCCCTCCCGCCAGTTGGTTCGGGGGGTCCCAGTCCCAAATGGTGGAGCCAGCGCGGGGGCATGTGCCAGGCGAGGAAGAAACGGCTTAAACATGCATTTTCGACGGTCCGCTCGGATTTCTCGGGGCTGCCTTGGGCCCCCCCCTCCCTTGCGCGCGGAGCGCGCCAGGAGCGGCGCCCGAGGCGCCGCGGGGGGGCCCCAGCGCAGATCCAAAAAGTCCTGACGGAGCGTCGAAAGTTCCCGCCTACGCCGCATGTTCTTTCCCCACGGGTAGAAATCTTGCCCCGGGTGCCGAGTTTTTTTGCTTGTGCAGTGGCAACCCATGCCAAGAAACACCCTGCTTGCCTCCAGGGTGCCCTGGGTTTGGCTTTCGATGGCTTTGCAATGGAAAGGGTGACCACATCAAAAATCAATGGACGTCCTGGGGCCTCAGGGTTGGGTGCGCCCCGAAGGTAGCATGGACGACCCGCCCCCGCCGCCGCTTCTCGTCGTCGCCGGCGCCGTCGCCGTGTCCGTCGTCGTCGTCGTCGTCGTCGTCGTCGTCGTCGTCGTCGTCGTCGTCGTCGTCGTCATCCAACGGTCGGCGGCGAGCGAGGGGGGAAGTGGGAAAGAGCAGGCTCTCTCAGAAGGCAGCGGGGCTTCGCAGAAGCCCTCTGGCCTTTGAGAAGTGCTGTGCTTCTTCGGGGGGAAGGCCCAGAGACGTTCTCGGATGGCCAGAAGACTTCGAGCCTTCTGAGATGGTCCACCCCTCCTCACCCCCCCCCCCGCGCTCGCCGCCAAACGGGTCTGGATCGATCGTCCGAGGAGGGCAGCGTGGACGACCCGCCGCCGCCGCTGCTCTTCGTCGTCGTCGTCGCCGCCTCCGCCGCCGCCGCCGTCGTCCCACGGGTCCGCCGCCGCGCTCGTCGCCGTCCCGTGGACGGGCGCCCGTCGCCCAGAGCGCCCTTGCCAGACGCGCTCGGCCCTGGGGCCTCGAACCTCGATCCTAGGTCGCCGATCCTCGATCCTCGATCCTCGATCGATCCACGATCCTTGCCAGAACCTCGATCCCAGGTCGATCGATCCTCGATCCTCGACCGATCCTCCGCCGAGGGCAGCAGGCCTCCCCCCGAGGGGGCTCCTGCGGGCCCCGCCCCGCCTGGGCATGGCGCCGCCGTGGCGTCTCTTGGGCGCGGCCAAGCGCGGCGGCCTCCTGGCGGCCGCGGAGGAGGGCGGCGGCCCCCGCTGGGAGGCGGCCGCCTCCGCCGCCGCGGGAGGAGGAGGGCGAGGAGGAGGGGGAGGAGGGCGAGGAGGAGGAGGAGGAGGAGGAGGAGGAGGAGGAGGAGGAGGAGGAGGGCGAGCCCCCAGAAGGGGTACCTCGGTGCGTGGGCAGCGCATCGGCGCCCTCGGGGTCGCTTGCGCCGCCACGGCCCAGGTGCGTCGGTGCCCTGGCGGGCCCGGGGCGGCACCCTCACTCTCTGGGAACGGCCCCCGGATGAGGGGGGTTGCCGTCTCGGGTCCATCGGGGGCCTGGCCATTGGCTGCCGTGCGGGGGCCCACCCAGGGCCGGCGTGGGCCCGTTCTTTGGCCCCTCCTCCACCTCCTCCTCCTCCTCCTCCTCCTCTTCCTCCTCCTCCTCCTCCTCCTCCTCCTCCTCCTCCTGCGCTTGCCTGCGTGGTACCAGGCTTTACGGGGCCTGGCTCCGGCCAGCGTTGTTGCCCGCCCCTGACGTCGGGGTGGCGGGTGTGGTCGGGGGGGGTCGGCTCTATAATGGTGCGGGTACGGCTCAGAGGCGTGCCACCTGACCCCCTTGGGGCAACGGGGTTTGCGGGAGTGGGCCTGGGCACGCACGCCTTCCCGCCCCGAGTGCTCCGCTCGGAGGTCCGTTGGGGGTGTCCAGTGCCCCCTGGTGCTGGACGAGCCAGGGAGGCATGGGGGCTGGCCGCTTACGGTGGTCTCTGCTGTTCGTGGAGCTGCTGTTCGTGGAGCAGCACATCGGTAAGTTGGCGCCTCTTCTTGTTCAGTCTTCCTTGATTCCTCTTCCTCTTCTGTTCTGCCCCGTCGGCAGCGGCCGCACGCTCCAGCGGCTGAGAGGGGGTGGGGGCGTGGCGGTTGGCCGCCAGGGAGGTGGCCGATTGCAACCACTGCGACCCGTTCACGAACCAGTGCGGGCGGATTACAACCACTGTGCACGGACTCTTCGCAACCTGTCGGATTCCTTTTTGAGAAGGTACAAGTACAACGTCGGATTGCAACCACCAAGCGCCAAACCCCACGCCCCAAATACCAAAAACACCAAACCCCAAACCCCAAACCCCAAAACCCAAACACCAGACAAACCAAACCCCAAGCACCAAGCACCGAACACCAAACCCTCGCAACACCTCTACAACACGATCTTGGAATACCTTGCCAATCGATCTCGCAATACCATGCAACATGACCTGGCCATACCTAGCACAACGATCCTGCAAGGCTTCACACACCCATCGCGCAACACCCTACAAAGCAATCTTGCGCGCCGCACTCCGAAGGTGACTTGTGGGATAGGGTGGTGGAGGAGGGGGGCGTGATAGGGGGGAAAAGGACAAGTAGGAGGAGGAAGAGCGGGATGGAGGAGGAGGAGGAGGAGGGAAGAGAAGGGCCATGAGGGGAAACATGGAGATGATGAGGAGGAGGAAGAGGAGGAGGAAGAGGATGAGGAGGAGGAGGAGGAGGGGAGGAGGAGGGGAGGAGGAGGGCGAAGACGAGGGGGATTGGGGTGCCGCCCGGGGGCCTCCTGGGATTCTATATAGAAGCCGTCTTCGGGGTCTCCTGGGGCCTCCGCGGAGCTCGCTGGAAGTTTCGGGTGTCCTTTTGGGCGCTTGTTGGTCCGTGTTTGCCGGTGATGCCAGTACTGTTACCACAAGAGCAACAAACTTATGTGTGCTTGCTGTTGGTAGCATTGTTATGATTAGCGGTATTGAGATTACACGTTTTGCTACTATTTGTATTCCTTCCACAACTACTACGACTGCTACAACAACAGCAACTACTACTGCTGCTACTACTGCTACTACTACTACTACTACTACCACTATTACTACTACGACTACGACTCCGACGACGACGCCGACGACGACGACTACTACTACTACTACCACTACTACTACTACTACTACTACTACTACTACTATTACTACTACTACTACTACTACTACTAGTACTACTATGATTACTACTACTACTACTACTACTACTACTACTACTACTACTACTGCTACTGCTACTGCTACCGCTACTACTACTTCTACTACTACTTTTAGGTTTACGACGACTACTACGACTACTACTACTACGACTACGACTACAACTGCGGCTGCTACTGCTATTACACCTACCACCACTACTATTAATACTATGACTGTTACTACTACTACTACTACTACTACTACTACGACGACGACTACTACTACTACTACTGCTACTGCCACTGCTACTACTACTACGACTAACACTACTACTACGACTGCGACTACTACTACTACTTCTTCTACTACTACTACTACTACTACTACTACTACTACTACTTCTACTACTGCTACTACTACTACTACTACTATCACTACTACTACCACTACTACGACTGCGGCTGCGATTACGATTAGTACTACAACAACAACTACTACTACTACTACTACGTTATCACTGCTGCTACTGCTACTGCTACTGCTACTGCTACTACGACTGTTACTACTACTACTACTACTACT